CATGCAAGCATTACAAATGGGGCATTTCCAGAATAAAATAGGCATTGTGTAGAGGGTGAGCTTGATTTGTGAGTTTATAAATATAACGACATGTCGCGTGTCATACTCCATCTCTGTCTCTCTACTAGCCCAGGTGGAGTCGCAACATAAATCAAACCCAGTCAAGTTTTTAAAAAATCTTGGCCAATTATCGAGTCGATTTTTCTTTTTCATGTCACATAAACTATGTGCCAGCCGGAACTGGCCAGCAGGAGGTACATATCGAAATACTCTGAATTTCCCACATTCTCTTCTCATTCAACTTCAGCTCCGAATTACTCATCGACATTGAGCCTATATATAATATGATGTTCTATGATATGCGTTCGCATTCTATGCATAGCAATTGGCTCTTAGCTGCTCGGCATTCCGAGCAGATTCCAGTCCAACGCACGCAAATACACTGCGAGAAACAGACGAGCTTACGATCTTTATAATAAATTACTATTAGTCTCTTTGGTTTCTCTTTCAGTGTTGTGTTTATTCAATTTTATTGCTTAAATATTCTTTGAAATATTGAAGGCTAAATATGAATCATATCTGTTGACGGAAGGAATATTATAAAATGATCTACATATTTTAAACATGTTTACTTTTGAATTTAGATTAGAAAATAAACTTCTTTATCTTATCCCTTAACAGTTGACCTCTCTGGAATTTAAAATTTCTCTCTGTGCAGTGACTATGTCATCGATTAGATGCAATGCCAGTCGCAAACTAAATCGTAATCTCTCTCTCTTAATCAGTCTGTGATTTACACAACGAATGCATACAAACAAACCTCAGCTCTTATCGTCAATCGTCGATCGTCGATCGTCGATCTTGGATCGTATGAGATGGTAACTAGTTGGCAGAGACGCAGGTCTACTGATTAACCAATCGATTTTTATTTAATTTATGCCACATGAGCTGACAGTTGACAATTAGTCTGTCAGCTAACAGCTTCATTAGGCGGCATAGGCTAAATCCGTTTAAATTATTTAAGCAATTGTCATTAATGCAGTGCTACAAGCTCTGGTCAAGCACTGATCAAGCATTTAATGTGCTAAATAAACCTCGCTTTGACTCACTTTCGATTCCTAAAACTCGACAATGACAAACAACAGACGCCAAATGGACGCCTCGTTGACAGCATTCTCTTTCTTCTCTGCTTCTCTCGCTCTCCTTCTCCCTCTCCCTCTCCCTCTCTCTCTGTCAGTTCACACGTCCATCACATAGTTTTAGCATACATATGTCTATAAATCATATGCATTTTTGAATACCCTAAAAGAGATACTCATATATAGATACCAACTGACATCTAGCTAAAATGGGATATACATCTTAAATTTCTATAGTTTATAGCGAATTCAAAATTTAAAAACTTGACGATTGCTGCTTTCCATATGTGAAAAATAAATAGAAAATTTGTCATTTTGCCACGCCTCTTTTACAAATGAATATTAGCTGGTTATACTACTACTACTATCTTAGCTTGACCTCTCTAATAGCCTTATACAGACAAACGGATATTCAAATATACTCTGTGTACTTAATAGTTTCATTACATAGTTATATTCTCATCGCTTCAACAATATTGCTAACTATTCGCATATCATATTTGGATCCGCATTATTTGTGTTGTTATTATTGAAGCCCTTTTATGGGAATATTTTGACTCTAGAAACATATTTACACAGTTTAGTGTTAGGGTTTATGATACATCATCATACATCAATCTTAACTTGTAGTTTGCTAAAAGCGATATTAATCGATAGCATAGTTAAATTGAAGTAAATAAATATCGATTTTAGATAAAATATTTAGTATACTTAGCTTATATTCATTCCCAAAGCTCTATTACTTGTTCACATATTAATTACATTGATTACCCTGGCTCCGTAATAGCTGTTAGGCCTCCGTTATTATATGTACATATATTCTACACTATATAGGGTATGTTCTTTTGTTTACATTGAGAGTAAGCGCCATTTGGCACTAGATATAATGGAAATTTTACATATATATATGCAGGCAATTAGAACATATCCGATATAATTGCAGGGGGTATATGATATTATAGTTAGATTCAATGCAGTTCAGTTCGGTAAATTTATGCCATTTATAATTTGCATTCTAGCCAAGGGATTTGTCATCTAGCTTGCTATATTGGGAAAAATTGCATAAAATTACAGTTGAATTTTGTGATTTTTTGTTTGTTGTAGCTGCGATTTTTAATTGATATACTAAATAGTTGATGAGATTAGCGCTCTCGATGCTCTGCCATTGAGAACAGAACTGAGAGCTCGCTGGCTGCATATATAAAAACCCGACTCGGCTATCGAACGCCGAATCGTTGTCGCTGATCGGGCACGCAAACACGTTGTCCAAATCAAAATTCGAGTCGGGGGGGGAAAAAAAATAAAACAGTGCCAGTAATAATATCTCTAAAGAAGCTTGACAGCCGGTCAGTAAGACGCGCTCAGTCTGATAACGTTCGTCGAGTCGTGCACGTCGCGAGTGCGCAACGCGAAATTGGATACGGAATTTCTATAAGCATATATATTTATATATGTATATATATCATATCTAATTATCAATCTATATAACTGCGATAAAATGAAGCTAGTGCTGTGTATTGTGTTAATGCTTGGCTGCCTGGTCACGCCCACGCCCGCCCAGTTCAATCGACGACAAGGTACAAGCGCGCAAACATACATATTCTTACACATCTAGCCTTAGAGAAACTTCTAATACTAGCTAAACAAAAACAAAGTAAACAAGCTGGGATTACGAGACGAAACCCGTTCCATTAACTGCGACACATCCATAACATACTTAATATATCTGCATATTCACATTAAAATATTGATGAGAATTAATTATAGTTTTTAGTGGGGATTTTTTTTTTTTTTTTGACAAAGTTCGTTGTCTAAGTCTTTTGGTTTAAGTGCTTTGATTTGTGTGCGCAAAATTTGCTTTCGATTGAAACTGGTTCGATATTGAGTTGGCTCTGTCTATTTTTATGTAAAAATCTATATTTTTAACAATACATATTACGCTTCATTTAGCACTATTTAGAGTCGCACGCAAATTTGTTATGTCAAGTTTGTCGCTCAAGTCTTTTCAAGTCTGTGCACAAAAATACAATGTTTATTTGAGTGGAAACTCTTTAAGTTTGACTTGCTATATATTTGTTTATGAAGAATTCAATTTTACAATCGAACATGCATGTTTTGTCAAGTTCGTTGCCTAAGTCTTTTGTTTTCGCTGCTATGTTTTGGAGCTATATAAATTGTTTTTAATTGAAACTTGTTCGAAATTGGCTCTACAGGTATATATATGTATATGTATATATATATATATTAAAATGTATATTAAACAGTTGTGTTTTTTGTTTATTTTTTTGGTGTACGCTTCAGGTTCAGTCCGTAAAACCAGTCAGTGTCACTGTCATTGCAAGCTAGCGCCAAGGTCAGCGGAGCGCCGCTGTATGCCAGTCGCCGTTTCCTTACAGCTTTTATTATTATTTATTTTGAAATTTTTGGCAATTATGCAGATGTGCTTAGGCATTGCGATCACGTTTTACCGGATAGTTCATTTCAGCAAAGAGAGAGTTCAAAGTGTTTTAAGTATTTCAAACACATCTCTGGGATGTAGATTAAAATTAATTGGGTGATTCCATTAGTATGTCACGAGCCCCATGGTATATATATATAAATGTATATATCTATATATCTATATATAAGTTTATTTATATATAGATAGTTGATCAATATCATCAATCATCGTTTGATCAGTAAAATAGTAAAACCTATTCTTATCATATGGGTATAGCTAACTGTTTCTATGCAAGCTAATCTCAGCTATAATTTAATTTCGTAACCGGCTTCGTTCTTTATAGCACTTAACTGTCATAACTCAAAAATTGAACTTTTTCAAACAAGTTTTTCTATATTCGATTGCTTCAAGTATTTTGATGATGCATCTCGTATAAATGCGTAATACTATAGGTCTGTGAAACCTCAATTGACTAAGTATTTGTAGTATAGTATTTCTTAAAGAATTCCCATTTGCTAATTTCATTCCGTTTCTCTTCTAAAACTTTCCATATAAGTTCTTTAATCGCTTTCTCTCATCTTGTTTTACTTTCACTAATGTAACGTTCAGCTTTGTAAGCTTACTAATCTGTGTCTAAACTCTCGCTTTTTGGTTCCATTTTTAGTTCGCCAGAATTGCATAACGCCCGAGAACTATTATGGTAGCTGTGTGGCGCTTAGCTATTGCCCTCAGGTGGCGAATATCTTCCAGCAGACCGATAGACGTACCGCCCAGAATTACATTTTGCAGCTGCAGCGCAGCTGCGGCACACGCAGCGTCAACCGCGATCCATTGGTAGAGTTTCTTTCTTTCTTTCGTTTTCCACCTATTCTATATGCTTAAGCGACTAATTGCGATTTGCTCTCGATGTAGGTGTGCTGCACTCGACCGATTACTAATCCGGTCACAGATCGACCGAATCCTTTCCTTACCACAGATGGTGGCTTTATACCGCCCCAGACGACTAATAATCCGTTCCTGTTCCCCAACACCCCGCCAACGCGCCGCACGACGACGACGACGACCACAACCACAACGGTTGCCCCAGTTACATCGGACTCACTTATAATGCCTCGCGGTCCGTCCTGTCGGTTTCCACCTGGCACGGTGGGCGAGTGTGTTGGTAAGTACAGAGTGTAGCTGTATCAAAATGATCTGCTTCTATAAGCCGTTAACTTCTTTGTAGATATCAGAAGCTGTGAGCCCGTCTTCAACGAACTTCGGGCTAGGCAAACAGATCCCGACTATGCCAAGCAACTGCAGGCCTCGAATCTGGTGTGCGGTCGCGTTGGCTCCCACGTCTGTTGCCCCACCGGCCAGGCGGTGACCACCCCAACCCCCGTCCCTCTAATCAATCTCAATGAGGTGCCACGCCGTCTGCCCACCGTGGCGGAGGGCTGCGGCGCAACACCCAGGGCGGCGGCCTTCAAGAAGGTCGTCGGTGGAGAGCCGGCCAAGCAGGGCTCTTGGCCTTGGATCGCTCTACTGGGCTACGACGTTATCGCTGGCTCACCGTTCAAGTGCGGCGGCACTTTGATCACGGCCAGACATGTGATCACAGCAGCCCATTGCATTCGGGAGGATTTGTGAGTAGATGTCGCATTATTGCAAACTATATTTCAAATGGAAAATCCTTTCTGTTTAGGACATTCGTGCGTCTGGGCGAACATGATTTGACAACGGATACCGAAGCACGTCATGTGGACATCAAGATTGCTAAGGTATATATTTAGAGAGTTGCTATGGATAGATTTGTTTACCTTTCGAATTTTCTGTATATAGATAAAGTCTTCTCTAATATTTTCCTTTCACTCATTTCTATTGACAGAAAGTGAGCTATCCGCAGTATGTGAAGCGCATTGGACGCGGCGATATCGCAATGCTCTACTTGGAGCGAAACGTGCAGTTTACGGACACGATAGTGCCCATCTGCATGCCCAGCAGTCCAGCTCTGCGCTCCAAGTCCTACGTGTCAACCAATCCCTTTGTCGTCGGCTGGGGCAAGACCCAGGAGGGTGGCCAGTCCTCTGAGGTGCTCATGCAGCTGATGATACCCGTGCTGGAAAATGAGGAGTGCCGTAGGAGGTATGCGAGCGTCAATCGTTATCTGGCACCGGAACAATTTGATGAGGCGGTGCTCTGTGCGGGCGTCTTGGCTGGCGGCAAGGATACATGCCAAGGTGATTCCGGTGGACCACTGATGACCTCCGAGGTGGTCGACGGACAGATGCGCTTCTATTTGATTGGCGTGGTCTCGTACGGCGTGGGCTGTGCACGGCCCGAGATACCCGGCGTCTATTCGAGCACACAGTACTTCATGGATTGGATAATCGAGCAGTTGAAGGATACGCCCTAAGAGAGATTTTAGCTAACTGAATTACATGTATAATAATAATAATACTAATAATAATAATAATAATAATAATACAAATTATAGTAATGAGAATAACTAATGATGGAAACTCTGGTCTGTTGACATTGGGCTTTGTTCTCATGACCGAATCCTGAACGTGCCTCAGAGCCAAAGACTTATGCAAATAGCCTCATCAATCATGCGTCTAATGAACGTCTTGGTCAGGCAGGGGCCGTGATCTAAGTCCTTTTCTTCTGCATATTCTGTGGTGGTTGGTACATGTGTTAAAAGGGTTGCGCAGGGTTTACCGACCTATGTATATCGACCTAGACATGAACTGCATTCTAATTGTGAGTCGGCTGGATTTGAATACATTTGAAAGTCTACACAGATCTTCAGCACATTTGGCGCCATCTCAGAGATGCCAACAATGGAAAACCCCAAAATTCAAAATCCAAAACCACCTTTTGGCACGCTTCAAGTAACCCTCACCCTCACAGCGCGCACTGCTCTCTAATCAGATCAGATGCCAGCACCAAGACGAAGGCTGTTCCCCCGCGCATTTGTGGCCACATGTCCGTTTGTTAAGGAGTTATCCTTTTGTCTATTTCATTGTCTTGTGACTCAAATCGCAGCTGCTCTGCTCTGCTCCTTTCTGCTTTCCCATTTCCACTTTCCACTTTCTTTACTTCACGCTCTGTTGAGTCAACAGCACTCGCGTTGCATTCGCAATTAAGCCAGCATCACAACATGCATTGATCTTCGCTCTTAGCCAAGATCATTTATCAATAAATTTGCATATGAAAATTTGCATGCGCAAGCCGATTTGCGAATACCCCGTAGCACAAGGGTGTTAATTTCATCATCATTAGCTCTGATATCTTTATTGACAGCTCGTTGCGAAAAACGGGCAGGGGCAGGGCTGGGATTAGGGCGCTGAGGGTTTGCCTTTGCCAAAACACAAAACACAAGAAACGAAAAAAAAAAGACATCAACAGTCAAGAGGTGTACAAAAGGATAAAACCCACAATTCGCAAATATAAACACAATTTGCCAGGCCACAGTTCCCATTGATTTCGTCGCTCGGGGGTAATTCTCACACGATCCATTTCAGCTGAGCTGATCAATTGCCCAAATCGCCTGATAGCCCTTTCAGCGCAGTCTCTTTGAAATGTGGGCGCTTTAAATGCGATTTTGATATGATCTCCAAGTAACATATATAAAAGGGTATATATTAGACCCTAAATAAGGGATATATTGGCCTTTATGCCAAGTGGCAAGGGAAGTGATTTTTGTACTAAAAATATTTTATTTTTATGTCAATCGAAAACCTGCAAAGTATGCAAAGGAATATAATAGACAAAATTTTTAGTGAAGCTCAGTACCGGGTGTCTTCCAGTCGGTTGTGCGCGACTTAAGCTTTCTCGTCTATGTTTATTACAGAATAGTTTAGATCACAGGATATACAAGCTAGTTATTGACTTAATTATGAGGACTTAGGTCTAACAAGTTTAATTTAATTAAATTGCACAGAAATTATTCCTAATTTACTATTAAACATATGTCTATGTGTAGCTGCAGATTCCTAAATCTCGGGTGAGGCCACATTCCGCTTGAGCACCTCGTTCAGTGTGGGGCTGAGTGCCAGGGCGGGATTGGCCACGGCAATGATATTGTCACCCGCCGCCGAGATGACCTGGACTCCGGCTGCTGTTAGATCCACAGTTTCGCCCAGGCTGAGGTTCTCGCTCGGCTTTGGGCAGCACGCGTCCAGCGAGGAGACGGGCGATCGTTCACTTTCCAGACCATTGCCCTATGGAAAATTTGTTGGAGCATTACTTAAGCTACATTTTTTAGCCAGCCAGCTGATGGGACGGGACGTTTGGACGCTCCACAACACATACTCACTGGCAGGGGCGGCGAGCTGGAGTTGCTGAAGGAGAAGCGCGAATCGTTGTCCTCAAAGTCCGCCGATTTGCCCAATCTAAGATACATGATAGACATATTAGATAGATGTAGTATATAGTGTATCTGATATATTTTTTACACTTACGAGAATTTGGCGATTTCCGTTAAATCGAACGGCGGCTTGGCAAACTTTTGATACATCGCAAACAGATTGTAGCGCGAATCCTCCACAGCTTCCTTTGAGTTGGTATATTATGGTATTTTTTTTGGTATTCAAAAAGATGGTTGATTAAAAATTTCGGGAATACATTTTGAAAGCTGTGCTCGGCAGAGCAGCGCATTAAGCAAGGCAAGGAATACACGGGTTGTTCGTTTGGGTTTTCAAAAAGCGATCGAAATTTATTTATTGGTTCAACGAAAGGTACACCACATATTGCAAAAGTCAATATATCAATATATATGTATAACAGAAGAGACTACGCACTATATAAACGGAACTAGAACTAAGTGGGATGGGATTGAACAAAGTATGTATTGGCATTGAGATAAAATTGGCTAGGTTAGGTTGCTCTGGACTATATGGGGCTTGGGTATTAGAGGAGAAGAGTTGTTTAGAAAAACAAAAGATAAGTAAATTATAATTGGGTTCGATTAGGGTTATGTTAGTTTGGGATAGACGTGAGCATAAGGGAAAGTTTTTATGTTTAGATTGGAAAAGTTAGTTGAACTTGGTTGGGATTAGTTTAACTGAGCGGATTGTGATTATTTGAAGTGAGGTTCAGAAATAAATAAATTATGGTGTTAGAGCTTAGTTTCGATTCAGTTAAATAACAAATAAAATAATAAATATATATTTAACTACAAAGAGCAACAACAATAAATATAGAAAGAAACAAATATACCAAACACTACTGTATATATACTCTATTTATATCTAATATTTAGTAATACATAAACATAGAACATTTGACTATATATAAACTACTATAAGAAATTAATAGATAAAAGAACAACAAGAAGTAAAAACATGAAGAGGAAACGAAGAAAGAAGGACTAGTAGGACCTAGTTAGTTAGTCAGTCATTTTCTAGGCCTAGTTATAAAACTTAAGCGTATCAGACTAGGCATTCATGAAATCTAAACAAGCAAACAAATACCAAAGACTACGAATTATAAGCATGATCTATATACATTTATATATATAAAGTATAGCATCGCAACTAGATATTCTAAGAAGAACCTCTAGGCAGACGTTAGTAAATTGAATGATCTTTCGATCGCACCACAAGCTGCAAAGCAAAATGTTGGGTTAACTTTGATTGGAAGCTGAAGCTGAAGCTGAAGCACTGCACCAGATAATCTAGACCACAGATTAAGGCTCAATGGATTCCGTCTTCCTTACCCGATTCAGATCGCCGCTGGGCAGCTGAGCCGCCTCTGTGGAGGAAAGGCGCTGCCGCTTGACGCTGGGCAGCACAGCGCCGCCAGCGGAGGCTGATGCAGCGGCAGCTGCAGATGCCGAGCCGGCAGTCATGGCATCGCTGGACTCGCAGTCCAGATCAATGGTCGCACGCTGCATCGCCTGGTTGGGCAGCTGGGTGAGCAGGCCGCCATAGCGGGCAATGCTGGCCGAATGGCCGAAGCCCGCATCCTTGACGATCTGGCGGGCCAGTGGGAAGAGCTCGTCGCGGCGCGTGAGCAGCCAAATGGTCTGGGGATTGCGACAGAGCTGCGCCGCCGCCTCATTCACGCAGACCTCGTGCAGTGTCAGTGGCTTCTCTGGGCGACGCTTGCAATCGAATCTACCATAAATCGCCGAATACTTACGTATCTCATCCATGCGCCTCGGATCGTGCTCCGCCATGGCAATCACCTGCTCCAGCTCGCGTGTGGTGCGCTTCTTGGAGGTCTGGGCGCGCGGCTCCCGCTGCGGCAGCTGTCGCGCTATCTTGTCGGCGCACATCGTGATGCGCTGCACCTGCAGCTCGGTGAGCACAGGCGTCAGCTGCGGCGAGCTGGACGACACCTGGTGCGCCGTGCTGGCCCCAGCCACACAGCTGCCCGCATTGCTGACCACCAGAGGCGTCGCAGTTGGACTCTGCAGCACGGGCAGAGCGGGGCACATGACGGGCGCACTAATCTGCGCCAGCATCTGGGCATTGGCCACTGAAGATGGAGCCACTGAAGCAGCCGCAGCCGCCGCAGCAGCCGCAGCAGCAGCAGCAGCAGCAGCGGGAACTGGAGCTGTGGGCTGGAAGGATGCGTATTTATGGCGTGGCAGCGCGGGCGTTGAGTCTGAGTTGAATATCAAAGCGGGCGCGGGCTTTGTGGGCGTGTCACATAAACCTAAGATAAGGAGACGTTAGTTAGCTTCGACTCTCTCTCTCTCTCCCTCTCCCTCTCCCTCCCTCTCACTCTTACCTAGCTGTGGCAGCATGGCTCCTTGAAACAAGCTCGGATTGTTGGCCCATTCGTGCAGCGCCTTTTGGAGACGGCGCACATGCAAGGGCTTCGATGCCATGCCCACTAATGCCATTATCTCCAGGAACTCCTCCTCGCCCGCATCGTACAGCTGCTGCACATCATCGCCCCCCATCTCCAGCAATGTGTCGTAGTAGGCCAAAAGGCTGGCACGCTGCAGCACTCGATACAGCTGCACCTCCGCCTCGTTGCTAGGTCGAGATGTGGTGATTACTAAAGGAGACAGAATGGGGGAGAGAGAGAGAGTGAGTGAGTTATTAAGTAATCTTTGCATATGCTTTTTGGGGTATATATTAGGAAATGTATATGTATATAATCAAATAATGCCAGACAGTTTTCTATGCACTACACCTCTTATGACTATATATCAGAGATAAAAAACTTCCTCATGCTCTTCAGTTTCTACTTCATCTGCTACAGCTTCAGACCGGGTATCAAAATGATATTTATAGAGCTGCCTCGCCGCTAAGTTCTCACAACGTTGAGAGACCATAAGAAAAAAATTTAATTAAATTCGCCTTTTTTTATACTAAAAAAAACTCGACGGACGTCTGGACCGTAAACCCTTTTGCAAAGCACAAAAAAAAAGAGAGAAAGAAAAAAAACCAAACCCAATCAAAAAAAAAAAAAACCAAAAGCAAAAAAAAAATGAATGGACGAAGATGGGAACGAGCTCATCTGCATAAGCAAATGTAAGCGCGCGTATGTGTGTGTCTGTGTGTGCGCGTGTGTGTATGTGTGCAACCCTTTCGCTTTCGTCCTTTAAAGAGCCAAGTATCCTTGGTCGCGGCACAAAACTCGTTAGAAATGCGTCACGCATGCGCATAGCCAAGCCGAAAGCCAAAAAGGAACCCAAGCAACATTTTAATCCTTTATATTTCTCTCATTTTTTTAGCTAAAAATTTTAATGTTTCTCTCTCTGTCTCTCTCTTATTCTCCCTTTCTCTTTGCCTGTCTAAGTTATGATAGTTATTTTCGACTAGATCTGCAGCAGCTTCTGCTCATCATCATCATCATCATCGTGATCATCATCAAAACCTTCTCGTCAAGCCACAATTTATGGCTCGCGTTGCGCTCAAAAGGCCGCCAATGAGGCGAAGCGCTGATGATTATGTCAAATCGTAAATAATTATGTGAGAATATTTTAGTCCTGGCTCTCCAGCCAGGCCCAGTCTCAATGCCTTCCCAGTTTCCCAGTGCTCTCTAGCAGCTTTAATTAATAGAAAAACGAGCTGAGCCAACTAAATTATAACAAAACTGTGCAAAATCACAAAAAAAGAGAAAATAAAGGGAAAAACAAAGCACATCGATCGTTGGTTGGGCACATCCATGCCTGGTTTTCGTATACCCTAGATTCAAGAGATTCATATAAGGGCATGCATACATAGAAGCCAACTAAATCGAGCTGTAGAAGAGCAAAAGTTCTGTAAACTTTAGACAGTGCTATTATAAATAATTATTGATTTATAGATTTTAGGAATTGAACTTCAAAAATTAGTAGTTAAAATTTCCTATGTATCTACCTATCAAAATTAAACTACAGGGTATCTCTTAGTCCATTTGCCCTAATGCGCCATAACTCACTTGTTTTTTGAGCGCATGCGCAGACGCTGGCGCTGCTACAAGCGCAACAAACTACACGAGTAAAAGCAGGAGACGTTGAAGGTGGCGGTGGCTGTACAGCAAGCATGTAGCGTGGTGTAGTTGGTGTTGTCACTTGATGTGTTGCCAATCATTAACCCATGATTGCATGCCTGTCACAATTTATGACACGTTGACAAACTATTGAAGGCAACAATTTCCAAAGGAATCCCAAGCAGAAACCCATAAACTCCATAAAACTTGAATGCGCAGCGAATGAGATGGCAAAGTTGGCTCAGATATCAAATTAAACTGCGAATGGTTATTATTTTTGATGGATATATAGTTGGCTATAAAAGTCGAGATTTATTTTTAAGCAATTGATTTGAGAAATTAAATGAATTTTTGTTTATATAGAAATCCTCAGATCTCAGAAGTTGTTAGAAGCTCTCAGATCTAATATTGTCTCATTATTTCTGTTGCTGCGATGTTATTATTTTTTGTTATATCTAAAAATATCATACTAAATCGAATGACCGTATCGCATCGTATATCTAAAAGTACTCCCCAAAATTCTTAGTTATTGCCAGCAAATATTAATTTGGGATGCTAAAATGACGTATTCCTGCACATAGATATATCAGAAGATTCTTGCCTATACAGAACCATATAAATTCTATCAAGATCATGTACAACTAATATTAAATAGCCCGAGTATATATTCGGATCCCTTTGGGGTTAAGTGGGACTGTCCAAGCGACACTTCTTCTATGCCTCTTGCCTGTGTGTGCCCAGTGAGGAGTATTTAACGCAGACGCAGAATCTTTTTGCGTAAAACAGAAGCGGGACTCTGTGGATGGAAGGCATCTCAGATGTGGATAGCAGAGACTGGGCGACTGGGCGACTGAGGGACGACTGCGGCACTGTGAGGCCGAGCGGGGATAGTGGGGCGAGGAATTTGCAGCAATAAATAAATGAGACGTGATTTCAATACACAAATAATGCGAGGGGAGCGCGCAGTTGGAGCAGTGGCAGGAGCAGGCAGCAGGCAGCAGGAGAAGAGCTGGAACTGGAACTGGAACTGGAAGTGGAACTGTCTGGCCATGTGCCCGCGCTTGGGGTTGGGCCTGGGCTGGGGGCCTACGATTCACTGTCTTCTGGGCAGCAGCGCTTGGCGCGCTGATTGTCACTCGCTTGCTGCAGCTTGTTGATTTTTTTTTTTTATTATTTATTTAATTTGCGGGTCGCTTTTTGCTACCGCCTGCTATATACCCTGTGCTCATTGGCGAATGTTTAAAGGCGGGTATATTGTGAATGGGGAGAGGGAGAGACAGAGGGAGGGAGAAGTAAAGCAGAGTCCTTGAGTCAAGAGAAAGCTAAGTTTTGAATATGCTCAGCATATAAATATGAATATAAGTTCTACAAGTATAAGTTTTAGTATAAGAGTCAAGTATAAGTACTAGTATAAGTGTGAGTATAAGAGTGTGTATAAGTCAAAGTGCAAGTATCAGTATGAGTACAGCTGAGCATGAGTATAAGTACCAGTATAAGTACTAGTATACGAAGCAGTATAAGTATATGTATAAGGGAAAGTATAAGACTAAGCAGAAGCATAATTTGAAGTATAAATACGTCACTGTGTTATTACCATTACAAGTAAACAATATAAGTGCATATAGGATTAGACACGTGCGTATAAGAGTGTCTAATCAGAGTCGAAATTACAGGGTATACGCTCGTATTTACGGGCAGCTGCCAGCGCTTTTATATGTTGCGCTTTGTTGGGCCAAGACTTTTAATGTTGGCTGCTGCTTATGTTGACGTTGTTGTTGTTGTTGTTGGTTGCTGCTGCTGCTGCTGCTGCTGTTGTTGTCATTTGCTAAATATGTTGTTTTTATGCGTTGGCAAATGGCAAAGATGGACAAAAAATGAACTGCAGTTGCTTTTTAGTTGGCACTTGAAAGCAATAATGACATTCGACGCCACATACCAAGCCGCACAGCCTGGCCAGCCGACCAGGTGAGTCTGTGTGTGTTAGTGAGGGCCGTCAATCGTTGGCGTTCGCTTCGATTATGGTCAACAGGCAAAAGACAGCAAGAAATAAAAAAAAAAAACGCGCATTGATTCGCAGACGCCGTTCGAACTGCTGAGCCGAAAACTATTTCTCATATACAACGATAAAAATTGGATGGATGGCAGACTTTATGTTGTTTTTTTTTTGCTCAAAATTCTTGGATCGTTCAAAATACCATCGATGGCCATAACTTTGGAGCGTTCGTACGTGCCAATGGCCGCTGATGAAGCTGCCAGCTGAAGCAAAAGAAAACAAAAAAAAAAGGAAAAGCTTGGCGAGAGCAAACGAAGGCAAACGGAGGCAAGGCCAATGCCTCATTAGCTACCCTCAGCCCGGGGCTGGGGTAGGTTTTTTTTTCTTGATGCTACCCCTAAGACGCACCTATCGTGTGGGTAAGCCAAGAGCTACCTGAGTTCTGGCGCACATTTCATTGGATGTCCTCCATTTGTATAGCTAGACAATAGATTCTGCTGCTGCTGCTGCGGCTGCTCCTATCTAAGTTCCTGCTCAGGGTGGGTTTCTTACGCTCGCAGCACCAAGGAAATGCAAACCGGATTCTAAATTGCAAAGCTAGAGCAACAGCAACTTTTTCTATTGTTTCACATTTCCGTTACACACAACAAAACCAAAAACAAATCTCACACAAAACAGGCAAAGCTTCGAAAAGCGCGGGAAATTGAAGAAAACAAAAGAAAAA